AGCGAGGAAAGCATTTGGTGGTGCGCGGATCACGCGTCGTGCGATATCTTTGAAAGAACTTTGGATATGGTTAAAAATCTCCTCCTCCCTTCCTTTCTCTTTTCCGAACCGATAACCCTTTGTCGGTACCTTAGGAAATATCTGGCAAGTTGACTCGATAAAATTATCCTCTCCCCTCTAATGTAATTCACTTTGGCCACTTTTGGAAGGGACGAGGAATGGAGAGCCTCGAGAGCGGAGGTTAGCGATCGAACCAACATCAAGGCCTGACTTTTGGCCAGAATTAATGAACTGAAGATCGTAAAGGTGGATTCGAGCAGTGTACTGTCTTGCCGTGTTAATGAAAAAAGGTGCGAATCGATGGCTAAAAGAAAAAAACGAATTTCACTTCTTTTCCTCTTTCTCCGCTTTTTTTTTCTTCCTTTTTTTGCTCTTTCTTTCTCTTTCTTTTTTTTCGATTGCCGTCGGCACTGTCACATGTTTGCGTACGAACAATCGAATCTTTCGCTTTCTAATTTCTAATATCACCGTGTTTCAATTTCGATAATTTCAACAATTAGTTATACAGGATGGTTCGTAACCGGTGATACAAGATAATTCTAGAGAAAAAAATAAGTCGAAAAGAAAGAGGTAAAATTTTTTTGCTTCGTTTTATCTGGCATTCTTATTTGTAAAGTCAAATTATTTATGAAATTACGGGCGTTGTTCGATTAAAAGAAAAGATTGTTTCTGCATTTGGTGCAATAAAGTAGCAGAATACGTTGTTGCACAATGTTCACAGCAACTTAATAAAAAAAGCACGACTGTGTACATGTGAAGATTATTGGAAACATTTCCAACAATATTTTCAGAGTAATCAAATTTCAACGTGACACTGGAAATATTTGCAAACACTGATTGTCAGTAATATTAATTTACAAGTATTACTTAAATGTACATTGTACTGATAAAACATTAGAGTTGATCTTTTCGAAAACGAAGCGTTCGACGAAAAGAAATTCTTTTTTACTTACTTTTTCTCTTACTTTTTTTCCTCTTTACTTTTTTTCTAGAATCCTGTATTGTGTAGCAGAGGAATTACAATAGAAACAAATTGCTTTGATTAACGATTATAGAATTGATTCATCCGTTGAAACGCAAAATTTATGTATATATATATAGTATATATATAGTATATATATATATATACTATAGTATAGTATACTATACTAGACTAGACTACTATAGTATATATATATATATATATATATATATATATATATAGTTTTATTTATTTATTTCTATATGTATGTGTATATAATATCAATATTGCTGTACTAACAACCGCTTATTGTATAACCACTTAATTACTCAATCTTTGTATCTAAACGAGACAAGTACGCAACAAATCTATGTCAATGTTCGTCATAACTGACATTAAATCTCAAATAATAATTTTTTAATCATTTTTTCCACGGGATTATTTTCCTAATGATTTTTTTTTGAAATTTTATACTTTATTGTATGATACATACATGACAGATTGTGATTAACCTTCAGTGACAAGATATTTTTACAAGATACTTAATACAGATATTAATATATAAAATTATTTAGTTATCTATCTTTTCTTCGTTGTTATTTCGTAAGGTTACTTGCACGTGTAAATAAGAATGTGTCTGTTTAAGCTGAAAAATATTTCTCTTAACTCTGTTAATTCTTTCGCTTGTTTAACAAACAGTTTATGAAACAAAAATACAAAAATGTTGTGACTAACAATGTTTGCTAACGTCGTAAAAAAGATACAAAATTGTATCGCCAAAATATATACACGGTGCTAAATTGAATTAAATCTTTTAGAATTTATTGTTTTTCGAATTTTAACTTAAATCATATACGGTGGAATAAAAGCGATACATAATGACGCAGCAATTCGTAGTGTTACACGTGGCATAATCTAACCCATAGAAAACATTTTTTCTATCAACAATAAGTTTAGAGTCGAATTTTACAAATAGAACCGAGCTCGATTCAAACGATAGTTCTATTACCATTCGTCTCATTAAAATATCCGCTGGTATCGTATCGACAATTTTCAATGAATTGCAAGAGACGAAAGCTGCTCCACGCCAGTAAACGCATTTTTATCAAGAGCATTACAACGTCAATCGTTTAACGGTGCGAAGGACAAAATTTGTACAACAAAATTTTTATTTGCCCATGTTGAAGTCATACATGCGATCAAACATCCAACATTTATATACATAATATTTATTTGTATTTAGTATTATTATTATTAATATTATTTGTATTTAATATTATATATACATATTTTCATTTCACGTTCAACTAGAGGAAACAGCGCTGGCAGAAACGGTAGAAAAACAGTAAGAACTTTTCCTCGGCTCGATGGCCAGCCAGAATCCATTTTTCCCTGTAATGTTGATCACACCTTTCTCAAACTGCAACGGGGTGATCGTTCTCGGCGCAAGCTTGATGTTACACTTGGTGAGAACATGACAGAGCAATACCTTCATCTCCGTCAGCGCGAATCGGTTGCCAATGCACATCCTCGGCCCAAGACCGAACGGCATGTACGCGCCCGAATTGGCGATCGTTCTGTTGTTTTCGTAGAATCTATCCGGGTCGAATTTCAAAGGATTCTCGTAGTATTTCGGGTCCTGGTGGATCCCACTCACGGGAATCCAGATGTTCATTCCTGCCTTGACGGTGAATGGTTTGTCGCCGGGTCGCGCCGGCGGCAGTTCGAAATCTTTGACGCACATCCTGTCTATAGACGGAGCGATCGGATAAAGTCGTAAGGTTTCGCTAATCACCGCGTCCAGATACTTCATCTCGTGCATCGCGTCGTAGGTCAGCTCTCCGTTATTGTTTTCCAACGTCTCGTCGATCTCCTGCTGCACTCTTTCCTGAACGTCCGCATTCTCGGCTAACAAGTGCGCCACTATACTGGTTTGCGACGAGACGGTGTCGAAACCGCCGAAGAAGAAGCTAAACGCGTGGTTTGCCATATCTTGTACGGTCATCTCTCTCCCCGGCTCTCTTTTCTTGTTATTGTCCATGAACAGCTGCAGAATGTCGGACCTGCGAGTGCCGGTCCGTTGTCTGGTTTCCACCGTCTCTGCCACTTGGTCGTAGAAAAATTTGGCAATGTGACTATCCACGAGCTTGAGTTGCAGCAGTTCCGCTAACCACGGAGCATTCCTGTGTATCAGGAACATCAGGGATCTCTTGAAGGTCACTATCGACGTGCTTATTGTACCGTACACGTAAAACACGTTCTTTGGTTCCTTGATAGAGTCGACGGACGCGTTATAGACGCAGCTGGCGATCACGTCGTTCGTGTATTTCGTCAACAGACCCTTCATCTCTGTTTCACGCTGCTCTTCCGGCAGATTCGACAAATGCTCGGCAAATCTGCTCGCGCACTCCGACATCAGTTTGAACATGGTTTTTATCTTGCTGGAGGTGAACGTCGGCGACAGCATATTTCTGTGATCCTTCCACTGGTCACCGTTCAGCATGAATAGTATTCCTCCTAGCATGGGATCTACTTTTTTATTCACTAACGGATAATGGTCCGAAAAATGTTCGACGTTCTTTATAGTGACAGTCTTGATCAGATCCAGATCGCGCAGCACTATTATCGGCGTGAGAAATTCGTATAAACCGACGTATTTCGCTCTGGGATCTATTTGATAAGT